TCGGGGGGGTCCCGGCGGGGCGGTGGGCGCGGGGGTCACTTGTAGAGGATGTCGTAGTGGCCGGGCCGGTAGAGGAGGCAGACGCGGGGCTGCGAGCCCTCGGGGAACACGTGCGGGTTGGTGGCACCGCCCTCGCCCCGGTCCATGTACTCCACCAGGATGGAGACGTGCAGCGCCCGCGCCAGCGCGATGATGTGGATGTGGTCGCTCTCCTTGGACATGGGCTCCACCTCCTGGGGACAAGGGACAGACAGGGGACAGAGAGGGGACAGAAAGGGGACAATGGTCAGTGAGGTGTGGGTCTCTCTCCTTGGACATGGGCTCCACCTCCTGAGGGGACACACAGGGGACAGAGAGGGGACAGAAAGGGGACAATGGTCAGTGAGGTGTGGGTCTCTCTCCTTGGACATGGGCTCCACCTCCTGAGGGGACACACAGGGGACAGAGAGGGGACAGAAAGGGGACAATGGTCAGTGAGGTGTGGGTCTCTCTCCTTGGACATGGGCTCCACCTCCTGAGGGGACACACAGGGGACAGAGAGGGGACAGAAAGGGGACAATGGTCAGTGAGGTGTGGGTCTCTCTCCTTGGACATGGGCTCCACCTCCTGAGGGGACACAGGGGGGACAGAGATGGGACAATGGTCAGTGAGATGATGTGGATGTGGTCGCTCTCCTTGGACATGGGTTCCACCTCCTGGGGACAAGGGACAAACAGGGGACAGGGGTCAGTGAGGTGTGGTCACTCTCCTTGGACATGGGCTCCACCTCCTGAGGGACACAGAGGGGACAGAGAAGTGGATGTGGTCACTCTCCTTGGACATGGGCTCCACCTCCTGGGGACACAGAGGGGACAGACAGGGGACACAGAAGGGACAGAGAGGGGACAATGGTCAGTGAGGTGTGGTTGCTCTCCTTGGACATGGGCTCCACCTCCTGGGGACAGACAGGGGACAGAGGGAGACACAGAGAGGACAATGGTCAGTGAGGTGTGGGGGACACAGTGGTCAGTGGGGTGTGCACGTGGTCACTCTCCTTCCACACGGGCACATGCCCACGTGCCCCAGACACAGTGACAGAGGTGCCCAGGTGCCTGTACCTGCTGGCAGAGCTGCCAGGTGCCCCAGACACAGTGACAGAGATGCCCAGGTGCCCCAGGTACAGTGCCCAGGTGCCCCTCAGATGGTGCCCACGTGCCTGTACCTGCTGGCAGAGCTGCCAGGTGCCCCAGGTGCCCCTCCCATGGTGCCCAGGTGCCCCCAGGTGGTGCCAGGTGCCCCAGGCGCCCCAGGTACAGTGCCCAGGTGCCCCTTGCCCAGTGCCAGGTGCCCGTACCTGCTGGCAGAGCTGCCAGGTGCCCCTCACCTGGTGCCCAGGTGCCCCCAGGTGCCCCAGGTACAGTGCCCAGGTGCCCCAGGGGGTGCCCAGGTGGTGCCCAGGTGGTGCCCAGGTGGTGCCAGGTGCCCCAGGTGCCCCTTGCCCATGCCCCAGGTGCCCCTTGCCCAGTGCCAGGTGCCCCAGGGGGTGCCCAGGTGGTGCCCAGGTGGTGCCCAGGTGGTGCCAGGTGCCCCAGGTGCCCCTTGCCCAGTGCCAGGTGCCCCAGGGGGTGCCCAGGTGGTGCCCAGGTGGTGCCCAGGTGCCCGTACCTCTCCTTGGACATGGGCTCCACCTCCTGGGGACAGACAGGGGACAGAGAGGGGACAATGGTCAGGGGACACACAGGAGACAGTGGTCACTGTCCTTGGACATGGGCTCCACCTCCTGAGGGGACACAGAGGGGACAGACAGGGGACAGAGGGGACAGACAGGGGACAGGGGTCAGGGGACATGGGGACAATGGTCAGTGAAGTGTGGGTCACTCTCCTTGGACATGGGCTCCACCTCCTGGGGACAGACAGGGGACAGAGGGGACAGTGGGGTGTGAGGGCTCCCAGGTGCCCCTCCCATGGTGCCCAGGTGGTGCCAGGTGCCCCAGGTGCCCCTCACACAGTGCCCAGGTGCCCCAGGCGGTGCCAGGTGCCCCAGGTGGTGCCCAGGTGGTGCCCAGGTGCCCCTTGCCCAGTGCCAGGTGCCCGTACCTGCTGGCAGAGCTGCCAGGTGCCCCTCACACAGTGCCCAGCTGCCCCAGGTGGTGCCCAGGGGGTGCCCAGGTGGTGCCCAGGTGGTGCCCAGGTGCCCGTACCTGCTGGCAGAACTCCTTGATGCTGCGGCCGCCCTCCAGGAACTGCTCGAAGAAGCGCCGGTGGCGCTCCTTGGACATGGGCTCCACCTCCTGGGGACAGACAGGGGACAGAGGGGACAGTGGGGTGTGAGGGACACCGGGAGACACAGAGGGGACAACGGTCAGTGAGGTGTGGGGGACACAGTGGTCAGTGGGGTGTGCACGTGGTCACTCTCCTTCCACACGGGCACATGCCCACGTGCCCCAGACACAGTGACAGAGGTGCCCAGGTGCCTGTACCTGCTGGCAGAGCTGCCAGGTGCCCCAGGTGCCCTTCACACAGTGCCCAGGTGCCCGTCATATGACAGAAGTGGCCCTGGTACCCCTCACACAGTGCCCAGCTGCCCCAGGTGGTGCCCAGGGGGTGCCCAGGTGGTGCCCAGGTGGTGCCCAGGTGCCCGTACCTGCTGGCAGAACTCCTTGATGCTGCGGCCGCCCTCCAGGAACTGCTCGAAGAAGCGCCGGTGGCGCTGCAGGCAGCCCGAGGTGAGCAGGCGCAGGTAAACCACCAGGTAATCCGACGTGGCCGGCTCGTTGAACGCCGCCAGCAGCTCCGGCAGCGGCACGCGGCGCTCCACGCGCTCGATCAGCTCCATCAGCTGCAACACACGTGTGTCAGGTGTGTCACACCTGTCATACACACCTGTCACACCTGTGTCACACCTGTCACACCTGTGTCACACCTGTGTCACACACACGCGGCGCTCCACGCGCTCGATCAGCTCCATCAGCTGCAACACACGTGTGTCAGGTGTGTTACACCTGTCATACACACCTGTCACACCTGGGTCACACCTGTCACACCTGTGTCACACACACGCGGCGCTCCACGCGCTCGATCAGCTCCATCAGCTGCAACACACGTGTGTCAGGCGTGTTACACCTGTGTGTCACCTGTCACACCTGTGTCACACACGCAGCGCTCCACGCGCTCGATCAGCTCCATCAGCTGGGGACACACGTGTGTCAGGTGCGTTACACCTGTGCCACACCTGTCACACCTGTCACACCTGTGTCACACCTGTCACACACACCCGTCACACACACCTGTCACACACACCTGTCACACACACCTGTCACACACACCTGTCACACACCTGTCACACCTGGGTCACACCTGTCACACACACACCTGGCTGTCACCCGTGTCACCTGTCACACCTGTCACACCTGTGTCACACCTGTCACACACACCTGTCACACACACCTGTCACACCTGTCTCACCCTTCTGAGCCCCCCAAAACCCCTCAGAGCCCCCAACCCCACCCCAG